TGACTGTAATTTTCTCTATTTTTTCTGCTTACAAGATAAATCATTTGACATTCAATAAGGAAAAAATTCACGCAATGTCAACACTCTACTGTGCATCTCCTCTTCCACATGCCTCCTCTTCCAAGACGATTAAGCCATGTCTTTTAAGACGTTTTCTGATGCATTAGTGTTCGTTGAGGCAATGCATCACTCTTTATTGGTCTCACTTGGAAGTTTTACGTTGAAACTTGCAAGCATAAGGGATCGTTGTGCAAGTAAAAAATCAGTAAGCTTATAGTTTATCGTTCTCATAAGGAATAAAGTCTAATATATTGTTTAATAGCTTTGATCAAATTCGAAGTCATATAATATCGAAAGAGATAGTTTGTATATTTTCTATACCAATCCGAAATTAAAAAAAAAAAAAATAAAGTATTTATCTAGTATGTGAATGTTTGTATTGGAATCAATTCTTAATTTGTAATCCAGTAAATTTATGCATTCAAGACAATCAATAATCCACTTTTATTCAATATTATTTTTCAAAATATATTAAACCTATGTTTAACAAGACCCGACCTTATTTCTAGTTTGAATTCATATGATAAGCATTCATTATTCACAGGATTTATCACATATGATTATATGCCATATATATTATTCCTAATATATATACATTGCTCTGTATGTTGTTTTTAACGCGTTCTAAACTTATTGTGAGTATTTCTATACTACAACAAGTAACTTACTATCTAAATGTTGATCAAGAAATAAAATAGTTTAATGGAAATGCAAAACATATCAAGAAAAATCAAGAAATACTAAACTAAGTGTCTTGAATTAAAATAAACAAAAAAATAGTAGCAAGGAAAAACATATTTAATCATCCTAATAATTAAATTATTCAAGAATTTATAGAAAAACATAACTCGAATCGAAGAAATGTAGAAGAAAGATCGATGAACGATTAAGTGAGACTTTGCCAATGAAGTCTTGATTTTGGATAGATAATCTTCAATAATCTTGCACAATTCCCTTGATGTTGACGATCTAGTATCGTTCTTCACCTCCAAAATATGTTGATTCTATGAATTTTTAGTTCTAATGAGGTCTTCCACGTTTTAGTCGAGTTTTGGTATTTAAAGGATGCCAAAAAGATTGAATTGAATTTTTACCAAAACAAAAATAAGAAAAATAGAATGTTTTCCCTTTTTATACTGAGGTGTGTGCCTGAACCCTTTAGGCAGTCTCATGCATCTCAGAAGATGAGGAGGCATGTGCCTCCTTTGCAGGACTAGGCAGGCGCACGCCTCGTCTTGTCCCGAGCAACTTTCGGTATTTCTATGATAACGTTTTCTGTCAATATCCGATTGAAGTGATTCGAAATGATTTGAAAGGCTAATTTAAAGAGCTATAATTATTCTTGAAATACCATTTCTCCTATTCGAATGTTTACTATGCCAAAATTGGGTTGCAATCTAGGACTGAAAATTGAAAACATAACTTTCTCGGCTAAAAATTGATGTTTTATAATACTTTGACTATATTTCATCACTTCGACTTCTTTTCTCATCAAATTGATCCCTTTCACTTTCAAATCTTAATCTCGATGTTCGATATAGCTTTTGAGTATTTGAACTTTAGTCCTCGAACTTCGAATTTGCTCCATTTTAACCATTTATTCATTCTTTCTTCCAAACATAAGTTTTTCCTAATAAAAGCAATAAATAATAAATTTGGCACTAATCCTTCCAAAAAAAATAAAAAAATATCTTCATTTAAGACCCGAATAAGTGTAAAAACTATACTTATCAAAACTCCAAACTTGAATAGTTATTTGTTCTCAAACAAAACTAACACTATAGAACAAACATACAAACATGCAAAAATATTTAGCTAGCTGACCCAACAATTTATCTCAAAATTGAAATAATGACATTAAATATAAGTACAGTTTTAGGATCACAATACAGAAAACAAAATCTACTTTTCCAATACAAAGTCAACGTATGTGTGTGTGTGTGAAGAATTAAGCATAATGTTATGAATTCACAAGTTGTTCCATTTTCGGCCCTTAATGGCCAAATATGTTCTTATTGTCACTAGTGAGATTTACGCACTTCTAAACTTATTCTTTTCCCTCTTTTCAAGTGTGTGATCGAATGTTGAATTTTATATTATCCTCACATCTATAGTTTATGTAAATCACACCAATTGCAGTTCAACATGTCAATAAATAAGGATTATCCATTAAGTTTGATTG